TTTTTTTTAACCAAATACCTCCTCAATAATTTATAATGGCTTTGCAGTAATGTGTATCAAATAAGAAGCACTGGAAAACGGATTCGTCTCTAGGACGATAGCATGGTTCGAGTGGTATTGAAAGCCGCACTGATGGATATGTAATAATAAACATATCTGTTATTAATATGCTAATGACTCTGTGCTCATTTAATGAGAAATAAAAGTAATTTATGGATGGATACCTTTAATAATGACTGTGTTGGTGTTTTCTCCTAGCTGAAATGAATAGAAAGCATCCTCCAATTGTATGCAAGTATGTATTTCATGGCTATATTAATTTTTTTAAAGGTAAAGTCCAATTTAGGCTCTAAAGAAATGGAGGCCATAGTCCAAGATTCAAGTGGAAAGTTAGCTAGTGTCTGTTGGATTACATCAGACTCAACGGATCTCTTCGGTTTCTGCATGTTGTGTGACTACATGCTGTGATAGCCTTTCTTCTAGACTGTCATTTCAAGGCTGTTATTTAGTAGTGACCTGGGAAGATGCAGTGTCTTCCTCAAGAGAAAATCAGATTTGTTTAATGTCCAGTGTAATAAAGGTAATGTCTCTCTACAGGACAAAAACCGGACAGGTTTGCTTACGCACATAATAAAAGATTCTGGTTCCCTGACTTGGAATTTCTCATCTGTGATACAAAGCTGCCATGCAGTCAGCTCCCACCTGAGCTGCTCTGCATAACTTCTGGAAGATTTGGGGAAAAGGGAAACAGATAACAGACACGAAGCTAATAATACTTGCTTTGACATTGGTAATAAAGTCATCTGACGCTGATAAAGGACCCTACTGTCTTCTGCTGGACTAATATCAATGAAACTATTAAATAGCAAAATAGATCGCTGTATAGATACACATACAGCTGACAAATCATTTCAAACCTATGTCTGCAAGAGAAAGATAGGTGGTCTCCGTGTGCGAGTCTGAGTCAGCTATGCTTTGGTTCTCACTTAATGTAGCTTGAGTTTTCATTTTATACAGTTTAGATAGGTCTGTCAGCCCCATCATGGTCTTTATCATTGTGCTTGTAACCTTCTTAGAATCATCACCATTAGATACTGTATTAACCCTCAGTTGCAGAGAAAAGCATGAGTTCTCATTCATTTCATCAAAGAGGTTTGTTTTTAAACCAAATAGAAGACAAAAAGCTTTGAGGGGGAAGCTGTAGAGTGCACCAGCCCTGTTAGGATCAGGAGCCACACGTGTTATGATCACATGGCCACACACTGCTCTGCTGCTCTAAATCTGCCATGCCTGCTGCAGCATGCTCCAGATAGATGCTTTGTATACTTGTCGCATAGCCTTTTGTCTGACTTCAAGTGTCTCCATCTACAATGCCTCAGAAAAACTGCATTCTTGACCCTATTTGTCAACACAGCCTCATCGCCTGTCCTTCTGCCTTCTAGGGAGGGTGTGTGTGTGTGTGTGTGTGTTATGTACTGTCTAGGTGAACTAAGGTGCGCCTGATACAGGCCATGGTCTTTGGAATCACTTGTTATGCATCAGAGAGTTGGACAATGGCTAGGGAGG